CAAGTAATTTTTACTTTTTTCTTGCTGCTTGAAGTCGGGACGCGTGAGAAGCGCACGTAGAAAGATAAACGTCCATAGGTCGTCGCGACCGCGAGCTGTCGGCCATGCTGAGTTGATCGTAAGAAGTGCGTAGACGGCTTCGGAGCTGTCGTAGGATTTCGTCGTAGTCTGCGCAGAACTTACGAAAATTTAGTTTCGTGAATACGAATTTGTTCTTAAGTTTTGTCTTACGCATATTTTTGGCGTAAGATCGATTCCGAAAGTCGCAGGAAAGGTAAGACAGACGCAGACGACGTTGCGAGCAGACGACGTTGCAAAGGAGCACACGACACACGACGCTCAGATAGGGGGTAGCGATCAGCCAATCAGGGCTTGGCGTTCTGACGTCACCGCTACCCCCTGCGCAAGAAGCAGACCAGGGTGTAAGATAGACAGGTGGGGAAACGAGAGCCAAATGAGCGACCGGATTGTGTCCCCCTCGGTTTTCTCTTTTTCTGTGGCGCCATCTATATGGAGCACCGCGAACTCTCACGCCGGGTGGGCGACCGGTGGCGACCAGTTAAACTGACAGAGATAATTTCTCGTGCATTTTCGATGGAGGACTGTCGTGCTCTCGGTTTATTTTGCGCACTCTCCCATAGAGTTCCATGCAAATCCGATTCGAATTTTTTTCCTCTCGCCGCAGCGCCATCTGTCGCAAATCGAGGGTACCTGCAAGCAGACGAGTACACAATCCGGTCACGGCGCTGCGGTAGGCTTCTATGGGCCGTTTCCCCACCTGTCTATCTTACACCCTGAAGCAGACGAACTTGCCCACCGCATTGACTCCAGTGGAAACAGCGTAATGGGCCACACCGATCGTCGTTGTCACGAAGACCAGTTAATCGGTGAGGGTATGCGGAGATTTCAGCGTGACTGTTAATCCTCAGTTGAACGTCGCGCAGTACCCGCTCCCACGACCCGAGGAACTTTTCTCGAAACTCAACGGAGGACGGAAGTTCACGAAACTGGATCTGTCGGAGGCATATCTTCAGATGGAGGATACAAAGAAGTATCTAGTCATAAACACTCACCAGAGATTGTTCCAGTTTAACCGGATGCTTTTCGGCATATCATCAGCACCTGCCATCTTCCAGCGAACCATGGAAAAGGTAACTGCTGGCCTGGGAAGCGTGGCATGTTACCTGGATGATATCATCGTCACCGGAGAAACTGATCAGCAGCACATCAAGAACCTGGACCTCGTGTTCTTACCACTTGAAGACTATGGGTTCACGCTAAAGAAAAATAAATGTGCGTTTATGTTTCCAGAAGTGGAGTATTTGGAACAGATTCTGTCCGCGGAAGGAATACGTCCCCCTCAAAGGAAAGTTGGAGCCATACTTGGCATGCCGGCGACGTCTAACCTACATAACCTACGGGCATTTTTGGACATGGTTCAGAATTACGTGAAGTATTTGCCAGGGTTAGCCGACCTTTGCGCACCGCTGAGCAACCTACTCAAGAAGAATGTCCCTTGGCAATGGAGTTTGCCTTGCGTAGAAGACTTTGAAGACATCAAAACGTGTCTAACGTCCATGGAGACTCTTGTTCACTTTGATGCAACCGAGACAATCTATTAGGCGGCCGATGCTTCATCAGTTGGCGTCGGAGCGGTCATCTCCCACAAGATAAAAGGAAAGGAACGCCCAATTTCGCATGCATCGAAAACGCTACCTTCCGCAGGGAAACGATATTCCCAGATTGAGCGAGAAGCTCTAGTTATAATTTTTGGCGTAAAGAAGTTTCACCAGTATTTGTGGGGAAAAAGATTTGTCTTGTATACAGATCACAAGAAATTTACGGTGGTTTTTGGTACAGTGAAGGGAATCCCTGTGACGGTCGCCAACAGACTTCAACGATGGTCCTTGATCCCACAAGGCTACTCGTATGACATTAGGTATACTCCAATAACTCAGTTTGGAAACACAGATGGCTTGTCACAACTACCTCAGGGACCTGATGCAGAGTTTGACGTGGAAGTTCAACATAGAGTCGCCGAGGTTGTGAGCTTCGTGTCATCAGACATCACGGCGATTGTTGAAGAAAATATGACCAAACTTCCAGTCAGGACACCTAACAGCGCAGCGGAGACTGCTGAAGACAAGACACTGTCGAAGGTCTACCGGTACGTAATGGAAGGATAGCCATCGGTTGGACGCGACGTGTACAAATGCAACCATACACATCGAGACAGTCGGAACTCACTGTGGCAAATGGCTGCCTAGTTTGTGGCATGCGCGCAGTGATCCCTTTGGTTTTGACGGAGTCTTCTGGATTTAATACATGAAAGACACCTTGGACAATCAGAAATGAAGATATTTGCCCGTTCGTGTGGCGGCCAAACATAGTCGAAGCGAAAAGTCAGACCTGCGTAGCTTGTGTTTCAGTCTCTGACAGGAACGAAAACGTTCCTCTACACTAATGGGAAGTACCAGAACGACCCTGGTACCGAATCCATACCGATTTCGCAGAATACCAGAATGCCATGTCCTTGGTGGTGATCGACGCGTACAGCAAGTGGTCAGAAGTCACTTTGATGCCGTCGACCAGAGCTGAGTGGACGGTGGAAGCATTCAAATAAATCTTCCTTGTTCATGGACTGCCGGAGCAGGTAGTCAGTGATAATGGACCACAGTATACTAGTGCCATTTTTAAGAATTTTCTAGAAAAACAAGAAATTCGACCCATCTTAACACCACTGTACCACCCGCAGTCAAAGGGCTTAGCCGAAAACTTACTGAGGACAGTAAAGTCTGCCTTGCGGATATCCAAGAAGAGGGAGGAAAAGGAAGGACTAAGACAGTTCCTCCTCGAGTATAGGGTGACACCACACTACGACGGGACAACCCCCGTGCGAGATGCTAAACGAGTGATACTACAGAGCGACGATGGATTTGATCAAGTCAGGTCATTCGTACAAAGTTTCTCGCGAACGGGCTCGCCAAAAGAGCAACTACGACGAGAGGTCGCGACCGGACGTTTTAGAGAAATCAGAAAGCCTGGATGCAGGATAAGTTAAAGAAGAACCACTGGATTAAAGGTATACCATCGTCAGCCAAGGAGGACGAGTTACGTTTGAAGTAATGCCTGAAAATCACAAGCAACACCGGGTGCACGCCGATCAGATCAAGGAACGGATCTGCGAAGAAGATTGGACAGCATTGTACGTCCCAACGCCGGTGGACAACTTTTGCGCAGTTGATCCGCCACAATTAGCAGCAGATGCATCGGACACGGCTCTGAAACAATCAGCTCATGCGTCCGAGTCCACCGCGGTTCGTCGGTATCCGACCAGACTACGCAAAGCACCGGACGAGAAAGACTCGAGACATAGGAGCGTGTTGGACTCACGTGAATCAGGAGATTCGGACCCCGGCGCGTATAAAGAACGGTCTTCGCAGTGCAGTTTTCGGGCCCAAAGTAAAGTGCCTTTATCCTGCCATACGGGTCCGTGTGTATGGGTCCACACAGCTACAGGTGGTATCCCCGCTTTCGCATGTTTCCAATTTCGGCCGCACGGTAGCGACTTTTTCAAAAGCCGACCAGTTTTTTTGTATTTTTTTTAGACATTTTTAGACGCGCTTGAATGAATTCCAGTTCTGGATTCAATGAACATTGTATTTATTGGAGTTACTATTTAATGAAAATCTAAGATCATTTCATGCTCCATTTAACTATGCAGAGTTGAGAATAAAGAGTCATGCACGGCGCCTATGTTTCATATATGAGCGCAAGGGTGCCATCGTTTGCGCGTTCAGCTGGCCATTTTGTTCCAAACGCTTATTTTTCTTTTGTTCTGAAGCACATGAAAGGGCGTCTCTCTGCACGCGCTCTTGGCGTTGGTTGTGCACCAGGGACATTTTGTTTTCGGAGATTTTATTGGTATTTTTCCATGTGAGCACGCGCTGTCGGCATCGGATACCACAAAGGGTGTCATCACCCTAAACATTAGGACATTGCGGCACCCTTGTGTGCGAAAAGCAAACATTATTATTTCAACGAATTCCTCCGCAAAACGCTTTTCTTTAATCAGTTAATCACTACGATCCTAAAGAGCCAATCAAGCAATCAAGTCAAAAATGTATCGTCACGGTGCTCGTTGCCTTTGCCCTATCACCCCCCTTAAATGATATCGGATAAAAAAGGCTATCGCATAAAGAAAACTGCTATCTATACATAATTGAAGACTTGCCTCTCTCTATCAACTCACATTAAAATATTTTCCACGAGCACAGTTCGATCAGGCACCTCTTCTATGACGAACAATAACTTATTCAAAAGCCAGGTTCATTTAGTGGCGACTGAAGTTCCAAAATGTCTGCTTAGAATCAGCTGAATTGTGCATCCCTAAGTTCGTACATTTGCCGATTTGTGAAAATCATTTGCCCGCTACCCATAGCTTTGGATCCTTCTCTGGAGTGGATAGTGTGGCTTTTGAAAAGGGTCTATTAACCATTGCCTGACTTTAACAAAAAGGTACCGAACAAAACAGCTTGAATATTTTAATAAATTTATCTCTCCTTTTTTTTTATTCTTTTCTTTTAATGTAAACTCGTACAGAACCCCAATTCTGAGAAGCGCGCTGGCCTAACTCGGGCCCAACGCCCTCAACGCGAAGTCCAAAAAAGCGTGGTGCGTGCTTATACGTTTCATCAATGCGACACAGCGGTCAGAAGAAGAGAAGCGGACGACTCTGGCAACAACTCAAAGGTGGCCAGACCGCAGCGCTGAATTTATGACGTCAACTACAAGAGGCCAACGCGAACCCGGATTATATACGAGTGCCGCATGAGCGTTCGGCTGGGAGTCTCGTCCAATCAGTGAGAACACGAGTCCCAGCCGAACGGTGACGCAGTACTCGCGTCCAATCTCTGTCCCGCACTGGCCTATTTTAGGTGACGTCGACGATTCCGCACTGTGGCCTTGATATTTTTGGGGGTGTTAGTTGTCTTGGGCCGTCACACGTTGGTGCTCGAGCTCGAAGCAGACGACGCGTCCGCGCGCGTCGTCTGGTAGCGGGCGGCGCACTTGAAGAGCGCCAGGGTCAAGCTGTCGTCCTTGAGGAGCGTCTCCCAGGCGTCGGACGCTTGCACCTCGGGCAGGTGGGCGTCGATGAAACGCGCCGAGTCCCGGCTCAGATCTCGGTCGCTGTGCCGGACGGCCAGCTCGAACACCCGCAGTGCGTTGTCCGGCGTCAGCGCGTTGGACAGCTGCCGCGCGCAAGCCTGCTTCACCTGCACGCATGACCATAAAGAGGACAAACTTTCTCCCTGGCTAGACTTCGACGTGCAGCGAATCATCTCAGCACGCGTGAGAAGGTCTGACTCAAAACCTTCCTAAAATAGATTAATGGTTGAAAGTGATTCGAGACCACCGGCAAAAAGACGCCAGGGCCGGTTTCCTCATCTTACAGACGCGGCCGCGGCTACGGCCAAGGAAGTACCTAGCGTCCCTGTTCTAATGGCGGAGAAATCCGTTTCGCTTCAAGCACAAAAGCATAACTTCACTCGCAGAAACTGACTGCAGGGACTTTCAAGTGGAGTCCAATTGGCCGCCAGGTAAAGTTACGGCCAGGGAGGGTAAATATGAGCCAAAATAAAGAAAAAACCACGCGAGATAAAAGCGGCGGCAGTATATTTATTTTCTTCCGCCAGCGACGGCGGCTCGCGCTTTCTGCTGTGGTCGAGGGGCTAGAGCGCCGACAGTGACCTGACGTCGCGGCGTGAAAGTCCCGGGTTCAAATCGCGCCAGAAACTCTCCCTCTTTTTTTTTTTTCATGTATTTGACTGCACTTCCACTAAGAATGTAGGCAAGGCCCTATGAGCTCTATAAAATCATTGGGATGGTAGTTCTGACTCACCAGTTCGTTGTTCTTGCATGACCTCGGAAGAAGGCATACATGTCTCTGGCTTTCTTTACCAACTTCCCCCACGCCCCTTGCATCTGCCGTACACTCCGCGGAAAGGTGACAATATCTTGCCATGCCCGTCTCTTCGTTCACCAGGTAGCTGTGCTGCTAAATTTCTCTAGAATTTGTTGTTTCCGTTTTCCAACTGCCCTAATTAATTCCATTTGTTGATCCAAATTCATTTTAGGTTTTCGGGTTAGAGATATGGTTCGCGATGTCGACGCCCGATTCATTTTTGCATTCGGTTGTGATCGTCTGCTATTCTAACTAAAATTCAACAAGTAATGTGTTAATATTACAAAACGATTTCCACAGCAAAATGTAAAGAGTAAAAATACACCTTTTATCACATTCCATGCAAGTAAAAGTATGATCTCTTTTATTTCGGTTTTACTACTTTCTCAAACGTTTGACTTGCTGCCTTGCCTGTAGGATTTCGCTCGATCAATGCATCCACGGCTGCTAGTCTTTATTACTTTTTGCTTATTTTGTGGAAGTTTTTTTTTAATTGTCACAACTGCAGTTTTCATTAGTACTAAATAGGCGTCTCCTGTTATTGAAAGGAGTCGTAGCAAGAGCGTTGTATATTTAAAAACACATAAAATGATAGTTGCTGGGGAAAGGATGCTTGTTTCGGCTCCGTTCGTGTGAAAGCCATACCGATACTGTTACCTTGGTTTTCTTTTAATGAACATTATGAAGCGATTGTATTAGAGCGTTAACTTGATATTTTTTTTTTCTCGGTGTTTCGATTGAACGGGAGGGACTAACAGTAAAAACAGTGTAAGGCGCAGTAGTGCAAGTGGCTGATTCGTAAAAAGGATTACAGTTAAAAAATGAGACACGCACAAAATACAAAAGAAAAAGCTCCTAGCGCGATTTGAACCCGGAACTTTCACGCCGCGTCGTCAAGGACCGGCGCTCTAACCTCTCGACCACAAGCTCAAGATTACCCCCAGAAAACCGCCGACGACCAGTGGATTGAACTATGGAACTCCACACCACCAGAGTCTGGAATATACTGAACACACTGCTCCACAAAAAAAGAAGCCAAAACACTCATTAGAAGGCTACAAAAATGAAGAGTTGGCCGACCAAACTGACACCACCCCAAGCAAAGTCCTCCCGAAGGCACCCCAGCGTTTTCAAGCCTCTGCTTACGCGAGAGAATGTTTTTTGTTAGGATAACCCGACCGGTGAAGGGGTAAAAAAGGGTCTATATCACATCAGCGAATGACGTTTTAGCGAACCGCGACATTTGAGCGAATCGACATTTTAGCGGATAACAAAGGCGCGTGCTAACCCCTCCCCCGGCTCCGCGCGCTCGCTTCGCGGCGACAGTCTGCGGCGGTTTAATTACAAAAATGTGAACCCATTTGGCCCACCCGTAAACGCCGCTTTGCGGCGGCCGACTATTCGCTGAAGTGGTTTTCGGTGAAACGTGGGCGTTCACTAAAGAGTGCCTCCCGATGGGGCACGGGCATCAGCACGACAGCGGTTGCGAACCACGTGGGTTGCGAATGAGACGCAAGACGTGCTCGTGCAGCGATGCGAGGCTGCAGCACAATGGGAACTGCCTTGACGACGCCTAGAGAGTCGATCGAATAATGCTGCCGTAATATGAACCTGAGAAACGCCGTATTTATCAGCTGCGGCGTAGAGGTCCGCCGCTCCATGCACGAGCCCGGACAGGGTGCCGGCGTACAGGTATTCGACGAGCTGTCGCACGGCCTCGTACGACAGGTCCTCGATGACAATGACGCGTCCGGTCGCCTCGCGGGTCTCTCCGGACAGCATGGCGGCGAACACGGGAGACAGACGACCCAGAAGGTCGGAGTGCGCCCGCAGCGAGCGCTGCCCGACGCGGATCTCCACGTCTCCGAAGCTGGCGCTGTCCAGGATGCCTGTCCAAGAGGGTATCGGTTTTGGGCTTCAGATGAGCGACTAATTGAGAACCATCCTTTCTGAAGCTATTAAATCTCTTTGCTACTGTTTCGCAGGCCAAAGTGACGTTTCGCAGGCAAAAATGACCAACGAACCTTGTTGCGTTACTGATTCCTCG